GAAGTCGCCGGGCTCCGCGCCCCGGCCGCGCGCCCGGCGCCGCTGCTACTCGGAGTCCCGGGGCGAGTCCAAGCCGCGGCTGGAGGAGCCGGCGGGGTCGACTGCTCACTGTGAAGCTACCTCCATGCGACCCTCCCCTTCCCGCCCTTTCCCCTCCCCCCACCAGCCTGATCTGGGTTCTTGGGCGCTTATTGTTTTAATGAAATTTTTGGTTGTTGTTGTTTTGGTCCTTGAATGTGATTTTAGCTGCGAGTAACGTGTCCCGCGCTCCTCTCGGGCTCCCTCGGAGGGTTTTCAGAGAGGTCTCAGTGCATCCATTTTCTCAGATCCTCTCCTTCTTTCGGGGGGAAGGATCTGGGCCCTGAAGGCGCCCTGGAGCGCGAAGGCGGCGGCTGCGGCTCGGAGGGGTCTGCGCGGCGGCCTTGGGAGCTCCCGGGCGGCGGCGGCGGCGGTTCTCCGGGACTGGACACCGTGAGGGGAGCAAGAGGATTTTCCCAGCAAGATCTCCATGTACAGCTACATCTTTAGGGCCGCTCGGGTTAATATATGTCGTCAGAGGCTCCTCACGCCAATCCCGGGGCGGCGGGGGCGGCGCCTCACGCTCTCTGCAATAAAACTTTTTGATGTTCTCCTTGCTAATTGCCGAGGTCCTCATCCAGGATTGGCTGCCCCTTCATAACCAGAAGATAATTAAAACGAGGGGGGGAGGGTTAAAAAAACTTTTTTATCAGCCGGAGGTTAATGCAAGTGTTTAACAGATGCTTCACTATTAAAATATTTCCCCCCCAAGTCTCAAATATCGAAGAATCTTAAACCAGGTACGGTATCACTCCGCTTTCTTTTCTGGTTAAAAAAAAAGAAAAAAGAAAAAAGGAAGCAGATATTGCTTTTCGAAGTGTTTTGTAGGTAACCGAGGCAAGAAAACCAGAAGGCAACTGGCGCAGTTCCGTGCGGGGCCGGGAGCAGAGGCGGCGGGCGGTCCCCACGGAGGCGCGTCTCCAGCCCAGGCGGGCACGGGGCCCGGGGCCCGGGGCGCGGGGCGCGGCGGGGCACGGCTGCGGCTTTGACCTGGGCACGGTCTGGAAACGCCCGCCTCAGCGTCGCTGGACTTACCCACCATCACGTTACCCAGGCCAGGGCCGTCTTGGGTAGCTCATGTTATTGTGGCTGCTTTTGGAGATCATGGTGGAGACCCCGGGACCGACGGCCAAGCCGATTATAAATACTCTTACTTCCATGTTCTTCAGGGACACCGGCCCCAGCGAAGGAAGACCTTGAGCTATTTCAAAGCGCAGACACCTCGATTCCCCGAATTTGTTGTGTGGCCGGTATCGGTGTTCCCCTGGTTTAACTAGCCTGTCTGGTAAGTAACTGAATATCTTTTACAGCGTGTTCTGAGCTTATTTTCCAGTTTTTATGAACAAACATGTAAGTACTTCTCGGCATCCCTGCCTCTCCCATAAAAGCGGGCATCTGTGGAAAGCAGGTTTAGTTATCGGAGGGGAACCATTAAACACCAGTTTAAGAGGCAGGCCGGGAGGACGGCTCGTGGATGTTTAGACTGCTGGCCTTGGTGATCTTGAACGCATTATAACCGAAAATGGATCTCTACTTGTAAGTCACCCAGCCGCAGGGTACCGGGCCGCGGTGCCCTGAGCGGCGTGAGTGTCTCCAGAAAGCTCGCAGGAGGCTGGGGGTGGTGGTGTTGGACGGTGGCAGGAACTGAAATGATCCCCGGGACTTGGCCGGGAGCCGCAAGGGGAGGCTGATGTGTAGCTGAGGATTCCGCCCAAAGGGTCGGTGTGGAAAAGGGTGTCTACAGGAGCCCGCGGCCCGTAAATTAGAGGGAGCCCACGCGGAGTGTGCAGGAGCCCGCGCTGAGCCTGGGACTTGCCGCTGGGCCTGGCGAGGGTCGCCCAGTGGAGACCAACTACACTACCTTGGGCGTCGTCTCTGGCAGGCAGGCGGAGTCAGGCCCCAGGCCGCAAAGGGAGTCCCATTCAAAGGACTCAGCGAGCACAGTCCTTTTCTTGCCTGCTGCGTGCGTTTTGCGGGGTACACGGTTGGGGATGGAAGGCCAGGTCAGCACGAATAGAGGGTGGGGTTGGGGGGTACCCAACTCCTGAGCTGCCAGGGATTGGGGCAGCCGCCAGCCACTAACCCCAGAGCCCTGGGCAACAGCTTTGGGAAACATGTTTTAGGTTTTAGGTGGCCGGGCTGCAGGAGAGGGAAAGGAACCCAGGGAGGGTCGTAGAAATCCAGTCTGGAAGTCCTCATGACGGCCCATTCAGTCCCTTCAGCAAGGGGTCAGTTTCCCTGGATGCCCCCAGCAGAGGTGTTAAGGCAGAGGACAGGAGGTGGGGAGTAGCTGAAACCCGACTGGTTGGTAAGTGCCCTTTGGACTCAGAACAAAATAGCCACCTATAGCTTCGAACCCCCACCTTGGGTAGGTCTGCAGTTTTGAGCACAAGGAGAGTCTTTTAAAGACCTTGTTCTTCAAGAAAAGAATATAGGTAGTGTGGTCAGGGTTCTGTTTAAATTTTCACCGGGGGAGGCCAACCCTAAATGTGTAAATACTGGTAGTTCAATCCTCTGACATTTGATACATTTTTAAAAAGTCTGTTTATAAAAACACATCTAGGCCTTGGGAGCAGGTAGACAAAGTAAGATGATTGCACCCTGGCTGGAAACGGATAAAAATGCAGGGAAAGTAGATGCAAGCTTCTTTCAGGCCAGGGGGAGTTTGGGGAATTGAAGGGAGGAAGAAGAGGCCAGACAGAGGGCTGAGCAGGGGACTGGGATGCAGTGTCCACCAGAGGTGAGGGGCCTCCATGGGAAAAGCATCAGAACTTGCCACTTTCAGCCTTTCCCATGCTCTTTTCATTGAAACAAAAAATGGACGAACCCCTTCATGGTCCCAGAGAGGCTGGCAAGTGATAGAAGAGATGGACAACATGGGACAGAAAAATGTCATAAAAGATGCTAATCTGAACATCCGTTCTCATTGACAGTGTCATTATCAGTTAATTAATGTGATCCGAGGGTCTAGGGCTTCATGAATCTCTGAAGGCCAAAATGCAGAGGCTACAGCCCTAGAAAGGGGGCTTGGAGGCAGGGGACAAATGGGAGAATTCTAGGGTCCCTAACTGGCTGAATTCCACTCTGAATGCACAACCGAGTCCACTTTTTTCTGTTAGTGCTGTCTTTGGGACATTTTCCTCCGGGTCTAGTGGGATGCTGGATTAGTCTGCGGCTTTGGAAAGCTGTGAGGCAAAGATGCTGTCTCAGGTTTGCCCCCAGTTTAGGTGGCCTGTGCCTTCTGAGGGGCTACTGATGGAGCTGGTGGTAGTGGTGGTGATGGAGGGGACAGTGGGAAATGTAAAGGAGGAGGGGGAAGTTCCTGGCTTAGTTATCAACCCAGGGATCCCACCCTGGTCTGTACTAGTGTGGCCTCTGGTGTGCTGCTCCCCAAAGGGCACGCATTCCGCGTACTCTGGGGGAGGAGAGACGATGCAGGCTGAGGACCACTGAGCAGCTGAGAAGATGCGGGCTGGGGGCCGCCTGGGGTGCCTGCAGGAGGAATCCTGCAAGGGTGAGGGCATGCTAACATCTTCCCCTTTTCTGAGGCCCTGAGCTGAGCTGCAACCAGTCTTACCTAGGCAGGGAGGCTGCTTCACAGGAGTGGGGCTGGGGATGATGTTTGCGATCCTTGTAGCTGATGGTGTACCCACTGTGCTGCACATTACATCTGCCTTCTTCAGCTAAGCAGACAGAACTGGGGTCCAACATTTATTCTGGGCCCGTGTCTCCTGTCTCTTTTCCCTCACTCCTACCCCTTCCCCTGAAATGGAGTCAAAGGGCACGGGAATGGCTGCACACTCCCTTGCAAACGTTCTGGTCTTGTGAGATATTACTTTTAAAATAAATCTGGCTTAAACTAAATATTTTCTTAAAAACTTCAGTCTGTTTTTAGGGAAAATACAGATCTTTTCGAGGTATTTATTATTTCAAAGGCGAGGGCAGTTTGTATCTTGTGTTTTGCTCATGAGAACTCAAAATAAACTGGACCTGAAAATAACCAGGCCAGAGGGCCATAAACACACATTTTATGTTTACGGGAATTATGGCTCAATTCCCTTCAGCGTCTTTCAAATCTCGTTTTCCCTTATTTTCTTAACCAACGTAGTGGAAGTGACTCTGGGCATTCCTTTAAATATCTATAATGCTCTTCTGTGAGGTGAACTCCAGAACGTGCTAAGAGGCCCAGAAAGAACATCAAACCCAGAAAGTGGCAGCAAAAGCAGTGTGTTCTTGAAGATGTCACCCCAGCCTCACCTGCTCCAAGGATGTGCTTCTTGTGACACCCTAATTGCTCTGCATTTCTGTCTGTCAGAGGGTGGGGTTGAGTCATTGTACCTGCTGGCCACTTAGCCCCAGAACCTCTAGGACAATCTAGAACCAGACATATTGT